CATTCTTCTTCGTTTTCCGAAGCCGTGGCATGGAAGTATACTTGCTTCGTTTCTGAAGGAAGTGACTTGGAAGTACGCGACTACCAAGCCAGCATCCTCGAGATTGAGAAACGGCCTGAGGGTGTTTCTCAATGTCGAGGAAGGCTGCTCCAGAGCCACAATTTCAAGGATACTACGTCATCGAAGGACTGTTCCAATGTCCAGCATACTTGGAATTCTACCGAGGCCGGCGTACTTCGTTGCAGGAAATTTCGAGGCTGCACACATAGCGCGCGGACCAATTTCCAAATCTNACAACAAACAGATGCCATTCAAGTACACTTGAATATCCATGCCATAGCACACTGCTTACTGCATGGCTATAGAGACCACACAAAGGTTCGCAACAGGCTCACAAATATGAGAGTGGAACAGCTGGTTGGCATTCGGGCAAACCTAAGGCTGTTTGAGCGTAACACAGAGCCATCCTCAACAAGGCTGGACAGTGACACTGAAGAGGAAGACTCAGAGTGTGATGTTGATGAGGCCCAGGAAGAGCCCATTGACTGAAAGGCTTTAGCAAAAATGCAGAGGATTGCTTGAAGGAAGATTTGCATGTTTAATGGCACTTTTTGGAGGGAGAAGGGCTCGTTTCGTTTAACGGGACTTTGTGGGGATATTTGGATGGGGGGGTGCATTTTTGTTCATTTTTGAATGATTGGGGTTGGGGGGGATGAGTAACATTTAACTCAACATTCCTGTTTTCGTTCTTCAATTAAACAAATAATTGTTCAATAAAATAATTAAAACTTGTTCTGTTCTACTAAAAAAAAAAAATGAAATTTCATGTTTTTTTGTTTAATTTTGCATCAAATATTTCCAAATTTCTCCAGATTAACTTCCCATGGAAATTTACCAGAAACTTTCCGCCCCTTTGCAACCCTACTCATGAGCAAAGCATCCATTCCCAAAACAGAGCTTCGGTTCGTCACTGGGAAGGTGTGTTTTTGTGTCCGACAATCATGCAAAAATGTAAAAAGATTGTGTCAGCTTGCATGAATCCAGAAGTACGTACATGCATTGCCCAGTGCAACCAAGGGACCTTATTAAATGCTATGAATGTGTACCGTTTATTTTGTTCCACTGGGAAATGTATATCAGTAAGCATTTTGTACAATTTGACAAATGAAAGGATAACCTCCTCCAGAATGAAACGCTTTATATTCTGCCACTGTGCAATTTATTCGTACAATGTCTCAATATATTTTCTCCGAAGCATGTTGGCTATCTAACAGAGAAAGAGATTTTTCAAGTGGATCGCACTTTGAAATTCCTCCGATACAAATGATCGGAAGCATCTGGAGGACCGAGACTTCTGTCTGGAGAAATTCTCTTTATTGTCTGAAAGAAAATATTATCTGTTTTGTGTTTTCAATAAGAAGCCACTTGACCTTTTAAAACTAAATTATTACAGTTGGAATAACTTCTTTTCAGTTTGATGTTTGAAGTCCTTTATTCACTATTATTATTATTATTTAAAATGTTTCAGATTTGGCAATGTGATCTTTTTCACCTGATGAACAATGTACTGTTTGTCAAAGCGCATTGTGTGGCATGTTGAGATATTCTATTAAACTTTTCATGCCATTGAGTCAAATATTTTATCCACCACTGGAGAATGAATCTATACAAATGGTCTTGGATTTTGATAAATAAATACTTTTTATTTAACAATAAATACCATTGTTGTATAACATGCATGGAATAAAGGCAATATGCAGTGTTATTCTAGTGAATTACTGTCACAAAGATGTTTGCTTCTTTATTAAAAAGTGTATATAAAGTTCCTCCATAACAACATTACTGAGAATGTATGGAACTTGCAAGAACACCCAGATAACAGAAGAGTTTGCTGACAGAACAATTGAAAAGGAATACAGGGCCACTTCAAATTTCCTTTTTTAGTTTTGAGATTAATATCAGAATACAGAAAAAGTCTGAACTCAGACTAGCTTGTGAACTCACTGTAGAATTTAGCGGCTAAATTAACCGATTTTCCTTGGTGGAGACCAAAAGCGAAGAAAAAAAATACAATGTGGACGTATATTCGCCAGGTGGCCAGAAACAAAAAATAATGTTTCTCAATGTGTCGGTTTTGTATTTATAACCTATTACCCCCAAATGTCCAAAAATCACTCATTGGAAGTTTTAGTTGACATGCACACCTAGTGGACTTCTGAGAAGATGAAACTCTGGGTGTTTCTCAATGTCGAGGAGGCTTACCTCCGAGTCAGGTCCTTCAGAAGCGGCTTCAAGCGAGGCAAGAATCCTTCCTAGCAGGTGTGCAGGTGTGCGTCGTATGCGAGGCCCCTCTCTAAATGGAGCACGATTTCCGACAAAGATTTGGAAATTGGTCCGCGCGCTAAGCATTGTGGGGATTTTAAGACCTCGGAGTCTACACATGTGCAGCCTCGAAATTTCCCGCNGTTGCAAAATTCCGGGAATTTTTAAAGATGGAAACTTTCCACGGGAATTTATGGGAATAAACTGGGAATTTACCAAATTGAAGGTTGGCTCTTCATAGGGAACCCTATGAAGAGCCAACCTTCAATTTGGTAAATTCCCAGTTTATTCCCATAAATTCCCGTGGAAAGTTTCCATCTTTAAAAATTCCCGGAATTTTGCAACCCTACTCATGAGTGACGCTGCTCGTTAGTCCTCTCCTCTCATGAAACGGTGAACGTACACCATCTTTTCGCAGGAGTTGAGCTCTGCCCTCTGTTTCCTGAGCAGCGCGTCACACAAAGCTCTCCTCCATGTTGGAGCACAGCAGGAAGGAGTCCACGAGCCGCGGTTTGATCAGCTGCTGGTGGTCCGCCGCCTCGATGCTGTCTGGACACCCCGCTGCCAGCCTCCTCAAGGCCGCCTGACACACACACACACACACACACACACACACACACACACACACACACACACACACACACACACACACACACACACACA